TACTTCGAGTTGTAAAAGTGATTTTGACTGATTTATTACTGGCTGACAAGAATCTAAACATTAAGATACTTGAGAGGAAAGAACTATGATGGAAAATATTGACAGTAAATTTACCAACTACTGAGCTCAAATGATTGTGGATATGCTGGATATTTTACCCGTTATTCTCGTACTAAAGTGTCTGGTAACACGAAATAACACTAACTTTTTTTGTTATTCTATCCTACGAATTCATCCAGCTGCGAACCTTAATAGTTTTAGTCAACTCAGATCCCTAGGACAAAGCAAAGTATCCAGATAATAACCAAAATTAACAAGAAATGTAATTTAGAAGTATCAGGATTACTCAAGATGCCCAACGTCCAGGGCTCCAATGTAGTGTGAATGTGATATACGCAAGGACAGCTTCTCCCGCTCAAAGACACCGCCTTTCCCGCCAAAAGTACAGCGAGATGTACAATGGTCGCTAGAGCGTGCTGAGAGTGACGTCTTCATCTCAACAGTTGTCTGAGTTGAGATAGAGACCATTTGACCATTTGAAATGAGCTGGAGAGTGTGATATTTGACTAATTAAAATAAAAGCTACAGGAAAAGGTTTACATTTCTCGAAGAAGGGTATTTTTATGGAATGGAAATCGTATAAGGTCCGAAAGGCTTTTGGTCACGCTGTATATTAAATGTTTCTTAATTATTTCGTTTGTTTGTGTTTCGTGTGTCGTACGACGAATCTTCACACCGTTTAGGTTGAAAAAACTATTGAACACGATTAAGTTCCTGTAAACGTAAAAATAAGTCCATTGTGGAAGAACTACCTAGTAAGAAACATTTAGCGATACATAAGGTAATACATCATTCTATTGCAGTATAAAGTACAGTGACTTTCAGATAGTGGACAGATTAAAATCCAACTTCAAACCTCATAACCTGTTAGATGGTTCCAAATTGAAAACATTCAGGCCTAGCATAAATTATTTTCCCTCAAGACTTTATGACCTTCTACGAAACAAAACTCAAAGGTTAACACACTTTAATCAGTAGAAACTATCGACTCTAACAATTGCCTCACTATAGTATCCAGGTATATCATTAAATTCGGAAATTTCCTCAATGGAACGACGAATTACACTTAAAATTTCACACCACTTCAAACTCGTTTTTATGGCTGCAATATAGTTTCAAAATTGAAAACTAGAACTTACCTCAACAATGTTTTACAATCAAAATTTACAATAGTTAAACGGTTACATGATAAAGTTTCGAAAAACCCCCAAAAGGTCAACACTTAAAACAATTAAATCGGTTGAAACTACCAACTTTAATAACTACTTCAACTATAGCACCCTGGTCTGGTATTACATTTCGAAATTTCCTCGATACAACCTTAAATTACGACACATTTTCACCGTTTCAATCACGTATTGACCCTGATTTGAACTCGGACACTTACCTGTGTTTAGACTAATGATGAAAGTCAATCAGTTTGTTTGGAAATCACTCGTCGGGAATCTATAACCTGTAACTAACTACTGTAAAATGATACAGTATGAGTAGGCGAGGTAGAGATTAGCGAATGGGCGGCTGAATTGAAAATTTGCATAATTGACTGATTATATGTAAACAAAGCTTGTAAACCCGTTCTGATACTAACACCCTCGTTTAGAGTAATTCTGTAGGTGATTGAGCCATAGGTGTGTTGTTGGGTTCAAATATTGCTATTTTAAGTTGGGTTGTCGAATTTGATATTGTAATAGCTGATGAAAAATTAACGTGAAACTGTGGATTAAAGCAGTGGTTTTGAGAAGTGCGAGTAGACTTATTGATATTTACTTGTTTTGATTTTTATTTCATTTCGTTGGAGTGTGCTAATGTCTACAGGTTTCTTCAATATTCTTGGACATATTCCACGATTGGTTCCTTATTGTTCGAATATAATACCAAAATACGATTAATATATTTTTTTCGATCTAGTAAAATATTTTTATCTGGTTATGAAACAACAAATAAAACACTACACACAAACAGGACAGAAAAGTTTATTCACTTGTCTTCAGATAATTCGTAGGAACGATTCACATATAAGGTATGTTAAATCTGTGGCTGAATACAGTTTAAAGGTATGTTCATGTCTGATATACTTAATTTGTAGTTTGCTGCTCTGGAATTACAGTAGAACCTCGATAACAAGACTCCTATGTAGTATTATTAAATAATACTTGTTATCAAGGTTGAGTTCTTATCGAGGTTTGCAATAACATGTTTAGGAGTTAAATAAATTCTAGGAGATTTGAAAATGAGACATGTTATCAGGGGTGACTTGTTCCACTGTATTTATACAGTAAAATTGACTTTATCGGAGTAAAATTTGGTCGACTTCAGCGTAACCCTTGCGTGAAACACTTTTCAAAACAGGTTTCAAAACAGCAAATTAAACCTCATATCATAGTAATATATGATTTTTTTCATACTAGCTTGGTATTTTTGACCGATTTGATCAAATCGATCATTGAACTACAAAATTCTTGGTCAAATGATCTATAGTCTTAAGAAGCAAGCTAAGATGATTCTACTATTGGATAAACATAATCCTTTATAGTTTTATTAACGTTATTAATCATAGGATTTTAATGTATGTAGCCTTTTTTAGTACCACACAAAGTCGTATTGGGTTACTGTCCTCCGGAATGAGGAAACACCGGCTAAAAATATGCAAAATGCCTGGTTAAGTGTGCATATGGTCGTGAAAGGTAGTTTGTGATTATAGGCCAAGATTGTGTGTTACTGTTTGACCTTTTCATGGTCCCAACTAAAAACAGCTGGTATTTAAGCTACAAAACTTCAATAGCATCGAAGGTACCCAAAGCTCATCTACCATTCATATTTTGGTTAAATAACCCTTAGTTTCACCCCCAATAAGAAATGAAAAAAAATTGATAAAAGCATGATTTGAACACATATACGCTGCAGAACTTCTCTGTTCCTCAAGCTGCCAACATAACAAAGACCATGAATTTCTTCATTTAAAACAGCTCAGATGTCCGCGAACAAAACAGTTGAAACATTAATCTTCATCATCATGTCTAGACTTCGCGAAATTAGACAATGAGTTTTTAAAAGACATTTTGTTATTAATTTTAATTATATTATCAACAATTGTTTTGTTATATGCACATGTACTGTGAAGTAGTATCTGTGAAAATTCAATTGAACAATACCACTAAATGGAATAATTCGTATTTCTAAAGTTGTACAGTTATAAAGATTTGTAATTGTGAGGTGTTCTGGCAGTTTCTTATACGTTTTGAACAAATTCAAAATAAATGGGGCATTTGAATATAAACGCTCGTAATTATGGATAAATATGGATAAAGTTTATACAAATTTGACGAATATCCTTATTTTCCTAAAAGAGAAAAAGTTGATAAACTTCCAAACTTAAAGTTTACTTATAGAATGAAAATGTGGAACAGAAGTACGGACAGTTAAATAATATTAATAACAACGCGGATTTACCTTTTGATTTATTTCACAAGGAAGTAAATAGTCCACACAGAAAACTTTACATGGGTAATAAACTTTTTATAAGGTACTAAAATATAATAAGGTAAAATCATCTATATTACTTATTTAATACGCAAGCAGGATTTTTGTGACGATTACTCCTCCGAAACTACGGCACCGATTGACATGTTTTTGGTCTCATTGGAAAGAGCGTAACGTGAAGTTGTGCAGGAAACTTTATTTTTAGGGAAATAATTAGAGAGTTAGGCCCTGGGACCCTTTAAAGTTTTGTATTTCTCCATAAGATTAACATGGGAAACAAAATTGTTATGAAACTCCAGCTATTGTCAGAAATTAAAAGTGAGAAGAAGAACATAATGTTAATTGTTAATTGTATACAGTCAATAAGTTTGCTAATTTAACAGTTTGCTACACACATTTACTGACTTGGTTTAAATGAAATGTTTACTATTTGAATTTGGGTTGGCTTAAATATTACAATGGAAAAAAGCGAGAGAGCCTGGATTAATTGATATACTAAAAAGAAAACTGAATTAGGCTAACACTGTGCTGCATTTCTTAGTAATCATTGAAAGAGCCGATTTGCAAACTATGGAAACATTGGAAAGTCATAGAACATCATCAAGGAGAAGAAATAGAAATGTTTTTTTTTAGAATTTATAATCGTTATTATGGACAATTTAATGCGGCTATGAGTAAGGCTATTTGTAAAAAAACACTAAAAAACAAAATCAGCTTGATAAAAAAAAACAAAAATGATAAGATATTTACAAGAAATTGGGATTATATCGATCTTTTGTATACATCATGAGTATTTCCAAAATCTTTGAGTAGAATCTTTTAAAGTCATCAGAAATTATGACTGTTATTTGTTTTAAAATAACACTGTTATACTTAGCAATTGCTCGAATTCGAGCAACAGGGACACTAGTGTTTAGTTAATCCATCATAATAAAAGTGGCCTAAACATGCGACAGATAGTTTTAACATCGGTTAAATTGTCAAATATAACCTTAATAAAGACTGATGTTAATAATAATAAAACAATTAACTATACATTTTTCACTAACATTGCTTTCACTTGAAATAATATTATTTCGTACATAAACATTAAATTAGCTTTTAAATATTTAAAAACTGGAAATTAATAATATATTACAAATGTAAAATATATTTTATGTTTACCTTCATTACCTTGCTGCAGTTAACCTATACATTTTCTATTAGTTTTTTGATCAAATATTAATGACATATAATCAAAATTGAAATACTTAAATAATGTTTATATTGAAAAACTGGAAAATTGGGTATTTTTTTCTATGTTATAAATATTGACCAGCCTTGTACACGTTACAAGAGGTAACCAAAAATATTATAACAGACATTTATTACATCAGGTCTTAAACAATACACATTTCCGATCAATTTAGTTAAATTAAATCACATTACCACAAAGCATAACAAGATACAAAACTACTCACATCCAACTTCCGAAGTTCTGTTTCGAAGCAGAAGAGACCAACTCTGTGATGACCAGTAAAATCCAAAAGCACCAAAATATTTTCCACATTTTGTATTTCAAATTCACATATTCCGGAACACTAAACAGCACCAAACGTAATAACTATCATAATGGAAATCACTGTTTATAGTACGATAACATCTTGAATTAATTTTAAGTCAAGTATGGAGTTGAAAACTGATGAATTTATTTTGTGATCGATGTTTTGGTAAAATAAAATAAATTTTTAGTTTATCGGAATATTTCGCGTATGACGTGCGTGTTACGAGCGGATAAGTTTCACGGACGACGCGCTCTCTAGCGGTGCCGCGGCGCAACTGAGCTAGTGGTTGCGTCGGTTCTTGGGGGGACTTGTTTTTGGTCCTTCGCAGCCTCCAGCAACGCCGCCAGCGCCCCTCCTGCTTACCCCTGTTACTAAAACCACCCCTTTACCCCCTAACTATATTAGCCCATTAGTATTCCTTAATACATTACTGGACATAATTTTACTCGCTTGTTAATTTATACTTGCTAAAGACATTTATTTTCTCTTAAAAACTGTTCTTGATTACATTATTGTTGATTTTTAACCATGATTTTACACTCGTATTCCGTCAGTTGACTCCACTTAACCACTAAAACGCATTTCTTGAAATAGTTTCTCTTAGACTAAATGTTTGTATGGTTGTATCCCATACACAGTATGTTTCCTTGATAAAATATCTTTTATCTGTACAAAACACTCCTTACCTCCTAATTATGCTTGGTCCATTAGTAAAGTCTCCTTATTTGTTTAGCATTTCACTTCCTTACTTAAAAGCATCTTTCCAACTAAAAACATTAATTATCGCTCAAATAATACTACTACTTAAAATTATACACTCTTACATACTTAAATTCCTCATTCACCTTTACTGAACAAAATACTACGAAAACATGAAGCAGTGCATAAAAATACTTCATTTTCAACAACATTGTACCATTATTAATTGACAAGTCACTACCGATCATTAAACTGTCGGTAATGCAGTATATGTCTAAAAATGATAGGAACAAATGTTGGGCCATGATTGACACGAGATCATTACCGATTTTCAACCTGTCGGTAAAGCAGTACAAACAATTCCAGGACTCCTTTGAAACAAGGTTGCGTCATGATTGGAACAGTTGCCGACCGGTGGCTGTCGGTCACGCAGTACATACAATACAACAACATTTCAGCCTGTTCATTAACCGAGAGTGAAGACTCTAGGCATCACAGTGTATTAGCATACAATCGACACGCAGAGTCCGAGACAGGAACGATGGAACTGAAACGCAGCGTTCCTGTCTCACGACAGCGGTAACTAGGTCTGTGGAACTGTGGAATTGGAATAATTGGCGTGACTGTGAAGCGTTGCCATTGGTCTGTGAAATATGAAATGTCTAGTAGAAACCTGGGTAATAAGTTGTTTTAACATCTTGTAAGTTAAAAATTGAAATTACCGTGCTTGTGATGTAGATGTGAGGAACTATTGTGGTAGGACAGGAACAATGGAACCGAAACAAACGTTCCTGTCTCATGTCCAAATGGGTCTGTGGATCTACGGAATTGGGATAATTGTGTTTCTTCTTCACTTTGATAATGCTTGCAATCAGTATGAGATATTTAATTGAAAGAAGTTCATGAGTCCATCGCACATTTCCGTATCTTATGTCTACTGTTGCCGACATAGTTACCAGAGCTACGCCGCCTACATAGGGACATGCTTGTTTAAGCTAAATATGAATGCAAGGCCAGTGCTAAATGTAGTGAGGTGATATGCGTAGCTTTCACTGATGACTGCTTGTTTTATTTTGCCAGGAACATATTGTATGACCTACGGTCAAGGATCTAGTTATGATCAATCAAGAGCTACTTACCTTTCCCAGGATTGAGCCGTTGACATTTTAATCGTAAGTCAAACACCACCTTCTGTCAGTCACTGAGCTAAGGGAGGAGTTGTAATCTTTGGCTATCGTTCACTACCGTGACTTAGACGATCAGTTTTCAACGTAAAACTTGTAGCCAGATTCGGAAAGAAAAATAACTGAACTTTCAGACCTGAACACTATGATGCGTATTTACACCTGAACGTGATAAAGAGATGTAATATCACAGTAGTATGCCTTTTCTAGCTTTTTGAGTGACAAAACCCGACGGGTTCATTAAGGCAGCGCCATTTATTCAAAATCCTAACATTAAGGCCAGTTGGGTAAAGGTTTGAGCCATCATAAAGCTGACCTTTATAAGGATAAAGCTGACTATCTTAGAGGTTACGTTTGTAGTTTGGTTAATTACTGACTAGTTGTTTCTTAGGCCAAGAACATTTGTTAAAGGTCAAAACACAGTTCATGCCATAACGAATATACCAACATTTCTCAGAATCAAACTGGTTTTCCATATTCATCATATTACTTATTACAGAATCAAATTAGGCACCTAGAGTCACTCTAATGTCCATTCGTTCAATATAGTCAATTACAATGCGACTTTCAACAAGTAAAAATAATTGTAAAATAATCGATTAAGATATTGAAGAAAAAAGCAACGCCACGAGCGTGTCACCCTGTGGAACTCCAACACAAGACATCGGCGCGACAGAAATCTTTGATCTTAGACCCGTAAACCAAGGTGTCCCCTCATAACTGTCGTTTAACGCTTTAAGCCACACAGTTAGCTATTTATATGGGAGCTAATTTGGCCGAATTCGAGTTTGAAGCCTCTGAGCGTTGAGACGACTTGGTTTTCTGGTTCAACCCGATTTATCTTTATGGAGCAGGTGTTTTTGGCCAAACGTTTGGGAGTCGTTAAATCGAACTCATTTTCGCTCGCCTTATCGCCGGAGAATTAAAAGTGCTTGTTTGAAGCATTTTGAGATAACTGCCGATAATGGAACACCCATTGAACCCATTGAAGTGGAGGGTGAAATTGTTTTCGTAGTATTTAGTTTATAAAGTACAACGTTACTTTTAATTTTTTTTTGCGTTTTTAATTCATCATCCGCACACACATTGAACATAGGATTTAAAGGAATATTCTCATTTCAGTCATGTCAATAATTTATCACCACGTCCAAAATTTCGTTCACGAAGAAAATTTATCTGAAACCGTGAAAATTGGTAATGTTCACATCAATTAACTCATTCATATTCTTTCTTAAATCCACAATGCCTTGTACGTGTTTGAGTGTTTGTACACCATTCGAAGTTGTATGATTTTTTGTAAGGGGCTGTTTGAAGTGTCTTGTAACTATATCACTTCGAAATATTGTTAGATAGCGTCATTAATAGTCCAAATAATCAATTAATTGCATCTGAAAACAATCCACTTAGGTGAGCTCTACAATTAATTGTCAGTTAATTATGATTACAAAACTAAATAAACATATTGACCTCTTCATTGAGCTGGAGTAATCTTATAATTTGTATTGAGAACTTCGATTACAGATCATTTCACGGGCATGGTTTATTGTGTGGATATTTGTTCTACATTTTCTCGTAATCTTACTACCCTTTCATGATGAGCATTAGGTAACAGATCATGAGCTTTGAATATAATTGATTTTCAACCCAACGTACTTTTACTTAATTTTCAACTAACTCATCCTCTCAAACCAAATCAGCTAGCTAAATTTTTATTCAAAACGTTTAATCTCCGCGCAATTCTTGCTTTTTCCGATGTGATTGAAGCAAAAAAGCAACGCCACAAGCGTGTCACCCTGTGGAACTCCAACACAAGACATTGGCGCGACATCGATTGCATGTTTGAACACGTAATGCACAGTCAATGTGTTATAGTAGTTTTTCTAACAGGTTGACTCAGTAGATGCACCGACAATGCCCAAGGAAGCCTCTATAGTCCAAGGTTCGCAGTTTTCAGTCGCCAGTGTCCGGCGAAGCTCGAAGGACAAAGTGACTATCAGGATTCGATCAGACAAGAGTCTAGGGACGCGAAACAATCGATCGTATATCTAGATGAAGTAGCGGTAATGGCGTCCCTTCAACTGGTAAGGATTCAAACCTGTATCTCATAGTGTACCACATCAAACTGCACCTTACTCATGAATAGTGGTACTTTTGATTACAAACTCGCCGAAAATCTTTGTATGAATATGAATCAAATTATTAACATTTAATTTTCACACGATTATTATAGGCTACGATTCAAACAGTGATGTAGACTCTCATGCAAAAGTAGGTGGAACTTAGTTATAATCAGCGTTAACAAGAAAGGTTATCAATAAAATTCCAGGATGATTTACGAAGACGATTTCACTAATGAAACCAACGTCTAAAAAATAACACCAAGTTTCATAAAAACTAGTCATCCCAACCAAACAAGACAGGATGAGGTTTTGGCTATAAAAGTCTCTTAAACACGTCCTGAACGAGACTCGCGGTCTTTATTTTCAAAAGTAAATTGGCTTCTGGACTTCAGAGTTGGTCACAGTCTGTAAGATTTTAGTTGACATGAACCACGAGGTTCTTCTACCTTTCTGTGTAAGATTTGCAGAGTTTTTTTTTTTTTTTTTTTTTTTTGTTAGTCAACAGACTTTCAGCATGTGATAAGACTTTGTATCAAAAATATTGCGTTACCGATATATTTACGTCATAATTGGTTAGTATAATGGATTTGAAAACTGGATTATTATGACGATAAATAATTGGAACGTCTGGTAATAATTTGTTCATTTAATGCATTGAATTAAGGTCTTGAGTCAGTGTAGTCTCGTTGATTGTTTATATGTTAAGTTACAAGAGAAATATCTTCTACATAAACCTCTTGAGCTGAATATAGTGAAAATCAGAGGTAGGGCCTATACACCTTAAACAATGTGTTAAGCCTGTACCTGCATGTTACTCAGATCAATGCAATACGACTAGCATGTATTAAATATAATAAGTAGAACAGAAAATGTTCAGCTACTACAAATGTTAAGAAACAAAAAATCTGTTTGGTAATTGTCTTGAAGAATATTTTTTCCCAAAAATTACCCTTTCAACAACAAAATATGTCCCCAGCCAATGGTGTCAAATCTACTAAACACATATGTAAATAACAAAATGTTGTCTTTATAGACACACCGGCAGACAACTTTTACTGGGGATTTTAAATACGGTACGTGGTTAAAGTCAATGATT